CACGCCTGTCATCAGGATAACACATGGTCGGATCGTACGTGCTTATAAAACTGGCAACCCTACCTCTTCCGAGTCGTAGGCGAACAGTCATCAGTCGCGCGCTGATGCCCGTTGGTTCACCCACAAGCTGGCCATGGAGACGATCGGATATTGCAAATCCGACCCCATGATCACGTGGTGCTGAGGCGGCGTTGCCCACCCAGTTAAATGTGTAGCCAGCACCTGCTTCATGCAACTTACCTTGCTCAGCGAGCCGAGTTTCACTGAGCGCCGCAATATCGATGATGTGGCGTGCCATTTCCATCGCGACCGGTTCAGTGCGCCGCTCGGGGCGCTCACTCGAGTTCCGGTCCAGTAGTGTGCGCACGTTCCAGCACCCGATGCTGAGTGCTTTGCGTGCAGGCATACGATTGTATTGGTGGGCAATCGCACGCGAGCTGGTGGTTGTGCTTCGGTGGTTTGCTTGAGGGACTCCACCCGGAGCCTTTGGCTCAATAGCCTGACCCACAAAGCATGACGTGGTTTGGAGGTTTGCTTGGTGTCGGAGAAGAATGCGGCACTTGCTGCACATGTCGCGGACCCTAGTGATTTGGGAAAGAAGAATCAATTTAGCCAAGCTCGACGGGGAATGACGCGTGAGCTCCGTCGTATTAAAAATGCATGGTGGACGGAGAAGGCGAAGTAGTTGGAATGCTACGCCGAACGCCGACAACACGAGTTCTTTGACTCCTTGAAGGGGGTGTTTGGATCAAGATTGGAGCCGCTGAGGTTGCTGATCGATGGTAGCTCAGGCGCTACCTGCACACAGACTGCAGACATAATGCAGATCTGGAGGAAACGCTTTGACTGTCTCTTGAACAAACATTCAGAGATTGAATGGCCTACATTTAATCTCCTGACGCAGCACGATGTGAAGGCGAGTCTGGCGGACACGCCGACACTGGATGAGATGCAGAGAGCACTTGCTCAGCTGCGAAACGGCAAATGTGCCGGTGCTGACGAGCTCCTGCCTGAAGTATTGAAACACGGCAGACCCTCGTTGGTGACTGCGCTGCACCACTTGCTGCAACGCATATGGATTGAGGAGGGGGTGCCTCCTGAGCTGAGGGATGCCGTTGTGCTACCACTGTACAAGGGCAAATGGAGGAAGCAATGTTGCACGAATTATCGTGGCATTAACTTGCTGAGTTGTGTGGGCAAGGTGATTGCCCGAATCCTGCTCAACCGCTTCGTCAGTCAGGTTGTGGAACCGAACGTGGCGGAAGAGCAGTGTGGATTCCGTTCGGTTCGCAGTACTACGTATATGTTTGCGGCAAGTCAGTTGCAGAAGAATTGTAGAAAACGACACCAGCCGTTGTACTCGCTTTTTATTGACTTCGCCAAGGTATTTGATACGGTGAACCGCGGGACGTTGTGGGTGATGTCGGGTGAATTTGGTTGCCCGCGTAAGTCTGTAAGTTTAGTTGAATGTCTGCACAGTGGTATGCGGGCGAGGGTGCAGCTGAGTGGCGAGACCTCGGATGACTTTGCAGTTGTCACTGGTGTAATGCAAGCCTGTGTCTTAGCTCCTGCCCCGTTTAATATATGTCTTCATGCCACGACATCTTGTGCTTTTGATGCGGCTTGTGCTTACGGTGTTCGTGTGGAGCACCGTGTCGATGGTGGGTTGCTGAACATCCGTCGTTTCGGTGCGAGAACTCTAGTCTGTGAGACAACTATCCGTATGTTGCTGTTTGCTGACGACCGTGCGTTGTTTTTACACAGCGCGGATGAGTTGCAACACATGACTAGTGCTCTAACTTCGACAGAGGCCAAATTTGGGCTCACCATCAACACAAGTAAAACTGTCTGTCTCTATCAGGCTTCACCGGAGGTGCAATCTTCAGTATTGCAGTGAATCAGCATTGGTGCTGAAGTATTGGAAACCACCTCCCGCTTCAGCTACCTTGGAAGTGTAATATCTACTGACCAGCAGCTGCACTGAACTTCGTATCCGCGTGTCGAAGGCAGCAGCGGCATTCGGTAAGCGTGAGTACCGAGTGTGGAACAACCATCAGCTCACCATTGGCACGATGCTGTTGGTATACAAATCCATGGTACTGTTCGTTCTTCTATACGGCAGTGAAACGCGGACGATGTACCGTCGGGATGTGCGATATTTCGAGCGGTTCTTTCAACAGTGTTTGCGACGGATTCTGCGCATCGGATGGGGCGACAGAGTTGTAGACACGGGAGTGTTGCGTCGAAGTGGAATGTATACAGTGGACTGCTTCCTTTTGCTGAGACAACTGAGGTGGCTCGTCCATGTGAGCCGTATTGATTTGACGCGGAATTCGAAGCAGCTATTATGTGGTCAGATGAGTTTGGGTAAATGGTATGTGGGAAATCGGAGTTTCGTTACCAGGGCATGATCAAAGTGATCCTCTCACCTTTTAGTCGTGATTGCAGATCATGGGAATCGTAGGCGGTCGATCGGCGTGCATGGCGCGATCTGATCACGAAAGCAGTTGCCGAGGTGCGAGCGGAAGACCTCGTGCATGCAAAGAAGAAGCGGCAAGCACCGATGGGTTGTACACCATCGACATCGAGTGCGTGGTGTTTTAGCAAATGCGGTCGCGAGGGCCTGAGTCACACAGGCCTAGTGAGCCTTGAGCGAGGCCACTCGGGACCACTAGGGAAGCGAAGACGTGTCCTGCTGGGAATGTAGGCAGAACCGGCGCAGGGTTTGTAGGTACGCTGCATTCGATTTACTAACTGTGTGCTTGCATGCTATGTCTATTTATTTCAGGTGGTGGGTTTTCAATTTTGTCCTGATACTTTTCTTTCTCATATTATTGTCTACCTGTACTATCTTCTGTAAACTTACGCTGGTCACTGAAGCTGATTGTATGTAATTTCATTAACATTTTCGCGTTTGTGGCTTTTTCTTATAACATATTTTCTCACCACTTGAACTTATTTGGGATTCGTTCGTAATAAGTTTTTTAGTACGCCCGTTTAGTGACGAGTTATGTCTCCCTATCTGTGTGCATTATCTGATTTATTTTCTTTAACGTTGTCGTTTCGAGTGATTGGCTGTTGCTTGATATCCCCATGTTGCTGCGCTTGATGTGCATGTTGCCAAGCTGCCTACCTGTCTATTACCAGCTACATCGTCCATACTGGCTTCAGACAGTTGGTCGTTGCTGGAGGGGACGGGGTGCACGGTCCTTGTTGCCGCGTTAGGATCAAAGAGTGGTTCCATGCACTCAGTGTGGAGCGGACTGCGGTCCAGCCACTGCGTTGTGTGTGCTTGATTCCCAAACACAGCGTGGTTGTGTTTACCTGTGAAGGAGTGTGGGCCGGCTCCGTTGATGAAACGTGTCTCCCATCCACATGCCTCCCGGTCTTATTCCTTCGGGTTCACGCTGGATAAGAGGTGTGTGGTTGGAGCTGTGGGTGGTGCAGCGCAAGCCACCCATGGTCCCTCTGTAGGCGCAGGCGTCCTGTGGCTGGCCACAGTGACAGGCAAATCCGAAACCGGATGCCGCCAACCATATATATATATATATATATATATATATATATATATATATATATATATATATATATATATATATATATATATGGTCAAACCTTCTTGTGTACGCGTACGAACTAGTAATATTAATCACGGACGATGTATTGTTCAGCTAAACGTCTCAGGTGGTTGCACAGTTTGAAATATTTGACACAGTATTGCGCTTTATTTAGACCAAACATGTGTATGAGGATAGACGCAGGCGAGCGCACTGCCCCGCTTTGTAAGAGTTCAGCGGATTGCAACTGCAAGATGACTTCACAAATTTCGTGTAGTCCTCTTGGAGTGTCAACCGCAGGCCTCTTCCTCCACTGCACACAATAGGTCCGACCGCCGATTTCACGAAAATTATTGTGTGATTCTCTACGTATTTAGTCGCATGGTTATCACGTTATGGTGTTACTGATCGACCTTTTTTCGCAGCAGTTTCTATGTAGATACGTTCTAGCTTCACTGTAAACTTTCCCACAGTGCATCCCGCTTCGGTGGTAAGCTTTGTATCTCCTATACTACTTCTTGCATTTTAGGGAAGAACTTCGTATACCAATCATTGCGAACGGCAATATTGAATATTTTGAGGACGTCACGAGGTGTTTTTTGGAAACTAAAGCTGATGCAGTCATGAGTGCTGGTATGTTTGCGTTATGATCGTAATTTTGGTTAGAAAATTGCCGTGGAATTTGAATAGTGTGGCGAGATCGTTCGGACGGTCTACTTAGTTGTGTGCTTGAATTATGCTTTTGTGCCCATTAACCGGAGGAACACGCATCTTCTTGACTTCCGGTGTCAGGTTGATAAACCACATTCAGGATTGCATCAGTGTGCTTTGCTTGTGCTTTTCATTTCCACAGCAGTTGTTTTTTAACCCACGTGCTCTACGCGAACCATCTGATATGAATTTATGACGTGACTCTTGACCTTCGTGATAATATGATGAGTATTAATTTGTTATAGGTGGAGATTCATCAGATCTAGACTCAATCAGACAGCAGTCACACGCCCGGAAAAGCACTGTACGGCCGCTTCCTCTTTTAGGAAATCGTCAGCAGTGTGCATTCCATCTGATGACCCAAGTGGGACTCGAACCCGCAACCCGGCTGCTACAGGTTCGTGGTTCCGAACACTGAGCTACGAGAGACGGCAGCGACCGCCGTGACTGTGTGACATAGTGCTGCTCACTATCCACTGACTTGCACGTTATTGCCATGCAGAGGACAGAGTAGCCTCTTTACCAAGCGACCAACTTACCAAGCTTAAGTCGCCGACTTACGGCATGATAAGCCGTTTGGTCTGCATACGGATTGCAGTGGGTGTAGGACATTTATCTATACCATTCAACTCTCTCTACTACTCCCTTGTTAATTTGATCACACGCTTTTATCGCTAGGATTTGATGATATATTTAAGAACTGCTTCTTCCCGTGATTATGCATCGCCAGTCCATGGCCGAAAGGATAAGGCTTCGGCCTTGCAACCCGGACGTCGCGGGTTCGAGTATGCGTGGGGGATCGGGCGATCTTCGCAGTATCCTTAGCCCCCGCGTAACTGGGAATTGGTTTCTTGGCAGCGAAACGTCGGTACAGCGTCCGGCTGACATCTTTTTTGATGCACAACGTACAACATTGTTTGGTGAGCTGTATGACTGTTACGCAACGTTCCCCATGATACATTGTACACCTACACGAATGTCATTCGTGTCGGGATCCGAACTAATCGCTCTTAGTCCGTGTCAAGAATAACATTATGTAATTAATTTGGATCCGGCAGCTATAGTCGGACTTGTACACACAAGTGATCTGACTCACTGCCATCATTTTCATTCTCCTGTGAGGCTGATGACAGCGTTTCCTCATGCAGACTGCTTCCCGGTGTCAAATGAGATTATAGACCGTGTGCTCTGCCGATTGACAGCATCTTCTCCTTCCAAGTCAATTCGGTAGAAAAGAACGCAGTGACGGAAACCAACTTGTTGTTTGAATACTGCGCTACCCAGATGTTCTGGATATATACACAGAGTGGGCAGTAAAATTCATTCTACAGTACAACTTCCAAATCTGCTGCAGTATTCCATCACGGAATAGTAGAAGGTTAATTTTCACCCATTTTACTCTCAAACAGCTACTGAGTCGGTTAATTACACCCCTGGTAGTACAATGCCAGTTCGTTTTCGAAAAAGGTACTGTAGATGGCTATCTAACGGACAGGTACTTTTTCAGTGGTGGTGCATTTGGTTATTGATCCACATCAACGATGTATCTCAGCTCCTTTGATCGACTGCTATGTAACGCGACTTGGATGTACTTCGACTACCTGTCCTCTTCAACTTCGCTATTGACGAAGGCATGGAGATAACGTTCACAGGACACGGCTTAGAAGGTGCGGAGCTGCTCCCAGGAGAACGACTTCACTTAGAGTATGCTGACGATATTGCCCTCATATGTGATAACTTACAAACGTGCTAAGCTGCACTGGACAGATTACCACTGGTTGTCAGCCGCTTCGGCCTTTGCTTTGCACCCTCGAACTGCTAAGCTTTTCTCCAAGATTGTCATGGACCGCCTCCTGCGCTGACACTTGGTGGGGATCAGCTAGAAGTCGTTCAAAAATTTAACTACCTGGGAAGTTGTATCAGCGCTCTTGGGATCGAAGATGAGATCACGAACCGTATAGGAAAAGCGCGAGGCGCTTTATGTAACTTTCGCCACCTATGGCGCCGGCGCGACATCACTCTTGCCCTGAAGGGTAGAGTGTACAATGCAGCGGTACGTTCGACCTTACTGTACGGTTGTGAAACCTAGCCCCTTAGATCAACGGACATAAAGAAGCTAGTTAGGTTTGACCACCGGTGCCTTCGCAATTTAGCTCACATCTGGTGGAAACACCGAGTAAGCAACGATTGTGCTTGACGCCTTGTTAAGGGCACAGGAAAAGGAATTGAACCGCTCAGCACTATTATTTCAAGCATAAGGCTCCGATGGCTCGGCCACGTGTTACGCCTGCCAGCCCACCGACTCCCGCGACGTGCGTTGTTTGCGCGCCTGGGATGTGGGTGGAAGAAGAGGAGGGGTGGCCAAGCGATGACCTGGTTGACAGGAATGAAGGCCCTCACTTCGAAGCTGGCCTCAGTTGGAGCGTCTCGGCTCCCTGGTTGGGGTCCGAAAAACGATGAACACGTTTGGCTGGATACACTTGTTGATATGGCTAGGAGCCGACCTCAATGGCGTTCGTGCTGTGAGTTTCTTTGTCCCTCCCCATCTCTCTTAGCCTCCCCTTCCAACCATGATCTCATTTCTTAGCATAAATAATAAATCTTTTTTGTTGCATAGTAGCCGGCTGGTACTTTCTCGGAACGATGCCCATCCGTTACCGGTAGCTCAGCTGGCATGCATCTGTTGCATCTTTCCCTTTTTTCTTTTGTGTATTGCTGCACAGTAGCTGAGATGTTTTCAACCTCTAGCTAACGTGTATAATGATGATGAATGCCTATTCATGTCGTCTGCAGATGTCAATCTGCTGGTTAACCCAGCCTGCTCATTATTTGTGGGCCTGGGGAAGAGTGAGTATGGGCGTATGTACACAATGGCTGGACAACCACCGCAACCCAAATCTTCCGCAAATGACCTCTCTCAACCTGCTGTTAAAAATCCTTTTACAAAACAAACAGGCTATTTGGAAACAGACAGCGCATGCCTCGGGCGCTCAAACGCATCATAAGACCGATGCTCCAGTGCGGATCACACGCCTATTGTTCGATCACCTGTAGCGAGGTGCAGAAACTAGAACTTGTTCAGAATGTGGCTACCAGGCTGATCCCTAGTTAACGTGGTACGTTGTACGAAGACCGATGTAGGCGAGCGGGGCTGTACCGAGGGCTGTTGTGCCGTCTGTTTAGAGTTATAAGTAATGATTAAATAAATAAATAAACGTTTTACTCCCCGACAGTACGAGGCATAGACCAATTGAGTGGTCTAATCGACTTGTACAGCGTAACCGCATAGTATAGTTAATTTTACGTGTTTTGTACAAAGGTTCCCATATGGGTTTTTGAAGTGATTAGCAGTTTGAAAGTATTAGAGATTAAGAAACTGGGAACAATAACAAATGTAGATTTAACCGAAAGTTCAAGTAAAGTAATACGGCCATGCATAAAACTGTCCCCAGAGGACCTGCTTCCATGCAGAGTATTCCTCGATGGGTTTCAACCACACTTCCATGCTCCAACTGGCTCTGTGCCGGTGTGGCAAAATAGAAAATAGGCCATCAGCTGAGTAACAAATGTTTTTTCATAAGGGCTGTTTTATGCATACATTATGGGCGATGAAGCCGCAGCCTGTTTCGTCATGCGTATCAATCAAGCATGGCACTTTTTGTTATAAGCCGGCGAGTCAGTAGTAGTATGATTTGCATGTGTTGACTTCATAATTGCGCTGTCGTATTAACGCTGAATACTGAGAATAGAGCGCGAGAAGATAAAAATCTGTGTTGCTCCATCGTAGGTGAATCGGACACATACGCGGAATCACGTCGCTGATTCCTGCCCCGTGGCAACTGTACTACATCTTACCCGGGTGCAGTGCGCTCCCTATACCTGTAGTCCGCAAAGTGGGCCTCGAGGAACCTCTTAAATTCCGATACCGATTTTGCCTCGACTACTGTCTCCGGCAACTTGTTCTAAGCTTTCACCACTCGACGAGCAAAGCATAGTGGGTGAGCGATGCGTTTAAAATGCGGCACCACCAGTTTGTACCGGTATCTGTGTGTGTTGCTTGGAAGGCATCCAATTTACATTGGAACCAGAGAAGGAAAGCCAGCTCCCTTTCTTAGACGTATTAGTAACAAGAACCATGGGACGCGAGCTGCAAACATCGGTCTACAGAAAAGGCACACACACTGACCAAATTCTGAACTTGAACAACAACCACCCGAAATACCACAAAGTAAGCTGTGTGCGGACACTGTTTCGCAGAGTGCAAACACACTGCAGTACCACAGAAGCAAAAGGAAGAAAATGTTAAATGTTTCCAACTCAAGGGATACCCACGAAGCTTCATCCGAAGGTGTGTGAATTACAACAATGTAAATATACAGTCTACAACAACAACAGCAGCAGCGGCAACAACAAAGACAACGGAGAAACGGGTTGTTCTGCCTTATTTGAAGAACATATCGGAAATGGCAGCCAGACAATTCAAACACCATCCTCTTATCGTAACACACAAACCAACTGCCACTTTGAGAAAAACCCTATCAAAACCAAAAGAAAGACTGCAGGCATATGAACAACGCAATGTGGTATACAAAATACCTTGCCTAGATTGCGAAAGGGATTATGTTGGCCAGACGGGAAGAAAACTGGTAACAAGGATACAAGAACATAAAAGTGGCTGTGTAATGCATTATGCATCCTCGCTAGTTTCAATGCATGTAGATGAAGAAGGACATAGCTTCGATTTGAGCAAAGCAGAAGTCCTAGCATGGGGTGAAACAAGAAAACAAAGAAAATCCTTGAAAACTTGGTTCTCAACGAAACACTCAATCAACATGCGCTTGGACATCGATTCAATATACGAACCACTACGACAGAGCAATAAAGAACATTTTGTCACGCAGTTTAAGGCAGAACAACTTGGGAAAGTGGGTGGAAGTCACGGGACCTAAATCGACACTGCCACTTTCAGAAGTCACCTGCAGGTCGATCACAGATGGAGGATTGCACGCCGCATCTCACTGCACTGAAGATGCCACCTCGCATGGTGGTGAAACGTTCGAGACAAAACCGCCAAGCTCGGAGAACAAATGAACAATTGAGTCTGTTCGTGTTGTCGACAGACTTTATATTACAGCGTGAGAGTACGCCTAGATCCTTTACGGAACTGGTGCGATGCAGCGGGTGGCCGGTGAAAGTGTACGCACGCTCATTACTACCTCTCCCCAGGCTCACAAACGAGGACTTGGCCGGATTGACCGGTAGGTTAACTTCTGCAGACCGTCGGGATAAACGGTCGAGGTCCTGCTAAAGGACGTCAGTCGTCGAGAGAATTAATAACCCTCTTAATCTTTAAGTTGTCTGAAAACTGCACAAGGCGACGGAAAAAGCTGAGGCCCTTCGTTTATGTGGATCAGGAATAAAATTGGCCCCAGCACTATGCCTTGGGGTACACCGCTAGTGGAGAGGTACCAGTTCGTTAGGTAGTTATCCACGTGTACCCGCCATCTTCTCCCAATAAGGAAGTCACTGATACGCCGGTGCAATGCGCCACCAACACCACACATCCTCAGCTTGTGGAGCAGGATCACATGGTTCACTTTATCGAACTCAATGTAGATAACATCCACTGACTTCCCCCGGTGCAACGCTTGGAACCATCCCTGCCGCGTCAACAGCAGGCTGATGATGCACGAGCGTCCCTTCATGAAGCCGTGCTGTGCCGGTGTTAGAAGATCTTTCGAGTCCAGCAATTGGAGAATACCCTTTTTCACAATTTTCTCGAGCACCTTCAACAAAACAGAGGTGAGACAAATCGGCCAGTGATTATCCACATTGCGTGTATTACCGCCTTTTGAAATCGGCTTCACTACCGAGCATTTTCAGTCGCTCGGCAATACACCCTCTGTTGAACAAATCCGCCACGGCAGGCGAGATGATAACCGATAAGCACTTTAAGATAAACGGATGAAGTCCATCAGGTCTGGCAGGTTTCGTGCCATCAAGACTGGCGAGTAGACTGCGGACATCTACATCGCAATCCAGTTCAGTCAGGGCTGCACACATCGGCTCGGCATAGGCGCATGCCCACTTGTAAATACAGAAGCGAAACGCTCCGCCAATGCAGACGCACGTTCGGTGCTGGAGGTAAGAGGCTGTGCGTCAGTGCTCCTAACACAGCTGTCACTTGCGGGCCCCAGGCGCCGCTTCACGTAAGCAAAAATCTTTTTGGGGGCTATATTCGCTGAGGTTGCAGACTCATGTTCGAACTGCCGATGCTTTTGCCGGTTGTTTGCCTCATAATCGTCGGCAGAGCCAAACACGAGGAATTTATTCCACTATAACCATCGCTGACGAGCCTATTGGCCATACACTGTCGAA